GCGCATGACTGCCAGACCTCCAGCTGAATTCGTTTTCCATTGCTGCATAACAAATTACTACAAATTGGGCAGCTTCAAGCAACTCATAGTTATTAGCGTACAGTCTCCGTGGGGCTGGAGGCCCGGCCTGGTGTAGCCGACTTCTTTCAGGGTCCCGCCAAGGCGTGCTGAGCCTGCCAGCCGGGCAGCAGTCCCCTTTGCAGTCCTGGGTCCGCTTCTGAGTTCATGCGGTGTCTTGTGGGTGTGGCCTGAGCCTGTGAGCTCCTAGAGGCAGCTCTCTCCCTTGTGGCTTCTCCATGGGCAGCTCCCATCCTAGCATCCGGCATCATCGGGGCCATCAGGAGGGTCTGGCTCTTGACCCGGTGCCTCAGGCAACATACCACAGTCCAGGGAGTGGCATCTCATGCCCTTTGTCATATCCTGTTGGTCAGGTCATGCGCAGGGAGAGGAGCTGATACAGGGCCGCTACCCAGAGCCTGTCCATTACACAGCCAGGAGAGTGCGTGTGAAGTTTTACATCAGAGATCTCAGCAAAAACTACATGCTGGACCAGACAGGAGAACCAACAGGAGCCTCTGCAGGGCCGCCTCTTGCTGGGGTTTTCCCGGCTTTCCCAGTCTGACTGCAACTAGCTCAGTTCCATTTCTGTGTCTGTATAGCTCTCTGTGTTTCTGGGATCCACAGATCTATTTTCTCGTCCATGACAGGGAGACCATGTCCTCCTGTGTCGTGTTGCAGAGAATGCGGTGACATCAGAGATGCAGTCACGGTGCTGAGCACCTATGCTACAGGCTCAGCTCAAGGCCTTATTTATTGGGATTACCACCTTTTATCCCACAGCCACCCTTTGAAGCCATCACTATTCCTAACCCCACTTTACAGAAGAGAAAACTGAGGCTCAGAGGGGTGAAGTCACTCATCAGTTAGTACTGATACAACCATGCAGCCACTCCATGTCAGGTTGAAGCCTCAGCCCCATCTGCCATCTCACTCCCGTCTCTTGCTCCTCCGTATGCATCCGGCGAACCCTCACCAGGGTCCTCAAGCCGTGCCCAAAGTGCACCTGCCGTGCCATGTGGCCCCAGCTGCTTTAGCGACTCAGTCTCCTCGGTGGAGCTTGCACGGGTGCCATCTCCACAGACCTCAGCCTTCCACGCAGCTGCATGTGCCCTTGGCCTGAGGTGCTGGCCACCTTCTTACCACCATTCAGTCCCTCTCCATTCATGGAAGTCTAGGCAGATGTCATCGCCAGGAGCTCTGCTCGGAGAACCCGGCCCCACCTCAGAGCTGTCAAGGTGCCTCTGTGTGCCAACGACACCACTCGCATTTGACGCCACCTACACTTCGCAGGTGCCCACACGTCGTTCCCCTGCTCCGCGCCTCAGTCTCTGGATCCCACGTGGAGTAGAACCTCAACTACTTCCCTCCACTCGCAAGTCGTTGCTGCATGCCAACCGGCGTCCAAGCCACTGAAGAGAAGCCTGTGACAAAGTAAGCGAGCTCCCTGTCCTCCATAATGAGACCATTTCATAAAATAGTGAACAAATGTGAAAATTTCGTACAGCGCGTGGTAAAACCTCATCTCCCACAGAGGTCACGAATGAGTGGATGTGATAGGAAAGGGCGGACTGAGAGGGGAGTTCCCTGACACAGGGTGGTCTGAGGGGCCTCTCTGAGGCAGGGGCACATGAGCAGGGATGTGAAGCAATCAAAGGGATCAGCCACAGAAATAACTCTCAAGTCCCATGGAGCAAGAACGGCAAGTGCAAAGGACTAGGGGTAGGAATGTGCACATGGCTTTTTTAAAAAGAGAAAGAAGGCAACCATAGCTGCAGTAGAGTGAGGTGAGGCCACGATGAAGTCTACAAGAGAGGCACAGATCAGGCCAGGAAGAGCCGGGGACATTTAAGCACATTCTGCTTTGCACTGGGTCCTCAGACGGTCTCTGTCAGTAGAGCTCGAGAGGAGAACCACATGAGGCTGCCCCCCGGCCCCACCTCTGGTAAGACCGTTAGCCTCTTCCCACCCTGTATCAATTAGGCCATCGATTCCATCGCTCCTGACTTCAAAGAGGAAAAGGATGGAGAATTTACAAAGGACAATAAACCCCATCCATTGCAGGCTGCAAGCCCATAAACTTTGAGCAGTCCTTCCACTACCCGGTGCACATCCCTCCCTCCCTGCATCGCCTCCAAAGCGCTGCCTTCATCCACAGCCAGCACAGTAAAAATTTTAAAAATTATGAAACCCCACATCACCTGGAAGCCCTGGAAATCACATTCGCCTCGATGAATCAATTTAATTTGGAACGATCGAGCCTCCTAATGGGGTTGCCTGCTATGCATCGATGTTCAAAGACCCTGACTCTACCGTTTACCTAGTACGTGGAGCAGGGCAAGTCCCTGCCCCCTCCAGCGTCGGTTTGGAACCAATGGGTTTGGGCCTGTCTGTTCTGCACTTCTAGAAGTGTGCTGCATTTCCCAGGGTCCCGGAATTGCCGGAGTCGCATTGGCCGCTGGCACACACGTGAGAAGCAGGGTGTGCAGCTTCTGAAGGTGACCTAAAGAGTTGTACAACTTTGGGAGAAGACAGCTGGGCTCGAGGCATCGAGGGTCCTTAAAAAAAATTGCACAAGCAGATCCGGGAAATGATCACACCAAAACATAAAGTGCAGAACGGTGGTTCTCAACAGGAAGTGGTTTGGTCCCTTGCAGGGGGCATTTGTCAAGGTCTGCAGGTGCAGAAGGGGGTGCTCCTGGCATCCAGTGACCAGATGTTGGGGATGCTGCTAACCTTCTTGCAATGTCCAGGACAGCCCTGCCACAAACAACTGTCTGTCCCCAAATGTCAAGTGTCCCATGGTTGGGAAACTCTGGTATAGAAAAAAGAATGTTCACCCTAATACTGTTCCAGAGATATAAAATAAAATTCTAAAACTAGAACCAAATGTCAAATAAAAGGGAATGAGCTACATGATGTGCATTAAACCCACCTAAACGTGATTCATGCTGTCAGAAAAAGGTAAGAAGTTTTGTGACCAAGCACTCTAGAAACAGACTGTGCCATGGGTTCCTGTCTCACCTCAAGCATATACAACAGAAGTGACCTAGGGCAAGTCTCTACCTTCCTGGATCTCGGTTTACTCATCTGGAAAATGGGTACAAAAGTCATGGCTCCTTCACAAAGCTATTGGCACACATAATTCTGATTCATTTCTGGACCGTATATGTTTTTGGTTTTTCCTCCCCCAAAAATATAATCCAGAGAAGCAGCCATGCCCGCTAGGATGAACCAGCAACCAGCACAGCACAGTGACTTTAGATTCTGCCATTGACACTGACCTATGCTCATGGGATGAGGCCGTTGGTGAGGGCTTGATGTCACATTTCCTGAGAAATCTCAGTGTTAGGCATCTCACACATGTCATTGCAGTTCTTCCTCCTAACTCTCTGAGGTGGATTTAAGCATCATCTCTGTTTTACAGATGAAGAACCTGGGGTTCAGAGTGATAAGAAACTGCCTTGGCCAAGGTCACCCACCAAGAAGGGAAGGGTACCAGTGAGAATCCACACTGGCTCAAGCCCACGCCAGAGCCCAGCCCCATCCAGGACGATGTTCCTAAAATGCTCACAACGCATATGTTTCCTCAGAGTTTTCTGGGGCTGATTGACACGGAGAGGCTGAGAGGTCCCAGTTTTAGTCCTGAGTATTTCTCATCCCCCTGCTCCTAGGTGAACTGGGCCGGCTGGTTGCCCTCCTCAGGGGTCACAAATAAAGGCCACACAGTGTCTGTAGGTCTCACAGAGGGCCCAGCCCTGATGAGGGAGAGTTGAAGAGTGTGCATGTGCAGCCTTTGTGGGGCCTAGAAGCACTCCAAGATGGAGGACAGGAAGCAACCGAGAAAAGGGGGCAGGAGTTCTGAGCAAAATATCAAAACCTGGCTCTGCCACAAATTCAGTGCATAACCCTGAGATCCTTTCAAGTGTTTCTTTTCTCCACTGAAACTAGGTGTCATTGGGTGAGATTCCTCCCAAAGTCACTCATCTGTCATCGTAATATCCAGTCTTTCCCACCCATCCATAGTATCATATCATGTTTGGCTGCCCTGTGGCTGCCCTCTGCCTGTATGACCTTGGAAAAATGACTCCCCTCTCTGTGGCTCAATCTCCTCATCTGTAAAATGGGGTAATAATGGGATGCACGGCTCGTACCTGGAAACTGTTGGATAATGGGGCTTGGATGCCCTGAAACTGTTCTGTAAATAGGGGCTGCTGTTTTGGTTAATGTGCCTCTGTGAATGTGCTGAATTCATTCAGCGCAGATAACAGTTTCCTTAACACCGAAGACATAATGGTGACCAAGACCCTCACCGCGGCGGCGCCTTCCTGCCTCTCACACAAGAAAAGGCGCAGATTCAAAATCCAAGTGAATTAACAACCAACTCCTTCCCTTCTGAAGTTGAGATTAAAGAGAGAGGGCTGCGCTCCTTTGAATGCACAAGCCAAAACATACATCGCTCGGTGCACGGCTGGCCATAAATCCATCGCTCCGGAGGGCTCTTCCCAGCTGGCTTGGCGACGTGGGGAACAGGCGTGATCCCTCCACAACTGGCTGTAATTACCAGATAGATAATTACCCGGCCAGCCTGCTTCCCTCAAATACCTCTCGGGCCCAGCAAGCAGGGAACGGCAGGAGCAAAAGGAACACGAGATGTTCCTCTGCTCGTTCCCGGGAGCCTCCCAGCCTCCCAGCCAGGCAGGCCTCCGATGTCCCTGCCAAAGCGCTCCCCCGGGAGTCGGCCGGGCTCCTGGGTGAGTGCGCCAGTGCTTTAAATTGTTTTATGTTTTTTGTCTCTATGAATTAGAGGCCATTAAGAGAGGGCCACCCAAGGAAACCAGGCACAAAATAGCCTCGGTCACAGATGGATGCGAGAGATTTGCGCTTGCTCCCTTTTGCTTTGTGTTTGTTTGTTTCTTTTCTTGTTTCTTTCTTTTTTTTTTTTTTTTTTTTTTTTTGAGAGAGAGCGGGTATGAGCCTTGCTTTTTGTTTGGCTTTTTTGAAACGGCTAATCCATTTGGAGCCCAGTGCTTGCAGCCCACGGGGTGTAAAGAGCACGTCCTTGCAAAAGTGGGCGGCGACCCCCTCTGCCGACATCCCCGCCAAGGCAGCTGGGCTTGGCCGAGTCCCGCTCCCACGCACGTAGTCCAGAGCAACCTTGGAAGCACCGACGTGTTGTTGTCTGCAAAATCCTGGAGAGAAGAGTACACGTGGAGCTGGCAGCTGCATCCCGGTGGGTGAGCTCCCTGCTGGGTCCCCAGCCAGTGCCACCCCTGCGTGACCAACACCTTGCCACCATTCCAGTCACTGGCTAAGCAGGTGGCTTCTGGAGCATCTCACCTGAGTACAAAGCCTGCATCTTCCTTGCAGCTCCTGAGCACTGTTTTCAACCTCTGTGTGCCTTGGTTTTCTCATCTGTAGAATGGGAAGAAGAAAAGCCTTAGATTTCCAATCTGAAGATCACATTAGTAAGAAGACCGAGGAACCGAGTTCTTTTCAGACTTTATCACATAATGGCAGATTCTTCAATGGGCTGGAAGATGATGTCCATAAAATTCTGATTTGAGGAAAGAGAAGAGAACAGCTTTCAGAGTATAACGGAACAGATAACTGCGCGGCTCATAAACACAAGGAAGTGGTGCTTAAAGATGAAAGAATTGAAAGACTAAAGTTGGAACTTGAAAGAAAAGATGCTGAAATCCAGAAGCTAAAAAATGTGATTGCTCAGTGGGAGGCAAAGTGTAAAGAAGTAAGGGCAAGAAATGCACGGCGACTGAAAACGCTTCCAGAAGGTGCAGTGAAAGATAAAGCAGAAATACTTCTGCAACCCGAGGAACCACAAAGTATCAAGAGTGAACTAACTCTACAGGTGACTTCACTTCAGGCTGCACTAGAACAAGAAAGATCTCAAGTGAAAGTATTAAAGCAGAATCAGGGGGCTGGGGATTTAGCTCAGCGGCAAAAGCGCCTGCCTGGCATGCGCAAGGTCATGAGTTCGGTTCCCGGTACCGGAGAAAAACCAAAAAAATAAATAAATAAATAAAGCAGAATCAGCCAAATACCAGCGCAGCAGAAAAGCAAAGAGAAACTGAATCTGACCAGGGCAGGTGACTACACAAGCCTTTGAAGTCAACAGGAAAATTAAACTTTCAGGGTTTTTCAAAAATGTAGATGTTTAATGTTGTGTGGCTGCTAAACTATGCAGTTTTGTTGAAAGAACAACAAGCAACTAGTTAATAGTCTATAATGTTATGTCTTTTGGCTCAAAGGTGAAAAGAAAAAATGTAGTATTCCAGTAAAACTTAGTGATTATAGTTTACTATCCATACTTCTTATCACTTTAGGGTTTCATCATTCAAGAAAATTATACTACTATTCAAAAAAACAAATAAACAAACCTTGTGTGGTTGATGTTAAGATTAATTGAGGTAATGCATAGCACAGTGCTTAGTATCTATATGGGTCCCAGGACGTATTAGCCACTATGGAAACACATTTGAAGTTGGGTACACTGGTGCGTACCTGCAATCACAGCCACTCCAGAGGCTGAGGCCAGTCTGGGCAACTTAGTGAGATTTTGCCTCGAAATAAAAATAAAATAAAATAAAATAAACGAAAGTGTTGCAGACGTAGTAGCTTAGTGGTGGAGTACACCTGAGTTCAATTTCAGGTAACACAAAAACAAAAGATAAGAAAAGAAAAGAAGAAAAAAGAGAAAGTTACTTGGTTTAACTCTGTCTTGGTTTATGCAGCCTTAAAATGGAGAGCCTAACTCATCACTCTGGGAGGCTGAGGCAGGAGGCCCCCACATTCAAGCCCAGCCTGGGCCACTGGGTGAGATCGTGTCTCAAAATTAAAAAGGGCTGGGAATGTAGCTGAGTGCGAAGGCCTTGGGGTCAAAGCCCAGAGCTGACAGTGGAGGGGCAGGTCCTTTGGGGAACTGTGAAGATTAATTTAATTACATTTTTATGCATCAGGTGCCAAGTGCTAAATGCATACTTTGGCCTCAGAACTGTGGCATAGCCTACTGCATTAAATTATTAGAACTTTATAATAACTGGGAAGCTCAGCATTATTTGGCTAATTAAGAAATCGAGGCTGAGCTAGGACACTGGTTCAAAAATTTCTCTTTTAACCTTAAATCTGTAATATTAAAAGGTTTGAGTTCAAGTACCCCATCTCCCTAGGATGAGACTGTACCAGCGCTTATTGGCCTTGAACTCACTTTGTACCCCAGGCTGGCCTCAGACTCGCAGCAATCCTCCTGCCTCAGCCTCCCTATTGGTGGGGTTGTAGGAATGTGCCACCACACCTGTACAACAGCTTCCTGGGAGTCAGTCTTGCTTTTCTTTTCTCCCATGCTCTCTGAGCAACCTTGTATTTCCTTGTGCCAGGATTGGGAAGTCTGAGAAAGCAGAACTAAAGGTTTGTGATAGGGAAGAATAAATCTGCATTATCCTGATTAGAATCCAACTCCTACCTCAGTCTTGTAGAAACTGAGAGAGCATCACTTTCCCGGATTCTCACCAACCTGGGTACATGGATCAACTCAAGTTTCTGGAGCAGGTGGATCCCATGAAAGAATGTCACACCGTCATTCCCACCACCACCTCTGCCACCATCCCCACCGCTGCCGTCATCACCACCACCTCCTCCACCATCAGCACCATCACCTCCACCTCCACCATCATCACCAATACCTCCGCCATTATCATAACCATCTCCATCAACTCCATCTCCACCATCATCACCACCATCACCATCCTCACCACCGCCACCATTTTCATCACCTCTGCCTCCGAGATTATCTCACTACCACCATCACCAACACCACCACATCACTTCCACCATCACCACCACCATCACCACCACCACTGCATCAGTTACTACCATCCCAACCTGACCCCTTTACCATCACCACCTGGCCGTTAGTATCCCTGTCTGCCCTATCACCTCTACCTCCACAGTCACCTTCCACCAACCCCACCACCCCACTGTCATCTTTACCAACACTATCCCTCCAAAACACCTCACATCTGGAAAAATATCTAAATTTTGGAGACAAAGGAGTTTAGCTGAGAAGCCCAGCAATTAGGTGCATTAGCAAAAGTCATGGGATGGAACAACATGTGAGCCACACAAGCTCATGGAAGGATAGACTTTATTTCCATTGAAACCCGACTTAGCTTCCTTTATATCATCAGAGCCAGAGTTTCAGCCAAGCCAGATGCAAGTTACAGAGACGGCAACGGAGGCTTCTCAGAAAGACAGCCACAGCAGAACATCTACTGGAGTCAGGTAGGCAGACGTGGGTTTGAATCCAACTCTACCACTTCCCAGCTGAACAACATTCAGCAAGAGCCTAAACCTCTCTCATCCTCAGGTTCCTCATGGACCAGATAAGGACAGCAGTGCCTGGCTTGCTGTCGCAAGGGTACAGTGATCGACACCCTGCCTAACATATATGGGACGCTCAAAAAATATATTTTCATACCATTAAGCGCAAAATCACCCAGAGGCTTGTTCTTTGTGTACATCTGAGCAATCTTATTACATGCAAGGCTGCAGCTCTTTATCCCAGCCAGCAGAGGAGAGGATAATTCTGGAGAAATGAAGACATTTGGACAGTTTACAAGGAAGGTCCCTTGTTTGCATTTTTTCAAAAATTACATAACTGATTGTCCAACACAGTTACAACTCCTGAGAGATGTCATCTCCCAAGAAAGCAGGGAGAGCAATGGGATGGCAAGGATGGTTAAATCATGGTGCAATTCACATGCATTTATAAGTCCAAACTAGTCTTGAGTACAAAGCTCCCTTCTGTCCCCAGTCCTGCTTTTTGTATATTTCTCAGGGCTGAGGAGCTCCCCCTTTACATCAAAACAGAATCTTGTTGCTTGGTTAGAGAGGTGAACTTTTCAGTTGCCTAAACAGTTCTTGTACAGCAGAGTCTATTTCACAGGAATCAAAAAGCCCAAAGCTAGACTCAAAGCAGGGCGGCTGACGCAGTAAGAAAATAGAGACAAAGCTCAAAGTTCAACCCATCTCATTGTCCCACCGGGGCTCTGCAAGCTAGAGGTCCGATGTACCTGGGGAAAAGAGGCCAAAGTTCCCCAGGAAAGACAAACAAGAGGACCCCTACATCAATGGCAAATGGAAAAAGAAGTAAAATGGCCCAAATGGTGCGTATATGTATTTGTATTCAATACCAAGGGCTGCCCTTTCTTCTAAGATTCTGCCCTTTCTGTATTTATGGTTATTCAAAGGGCCCCTCCTGCACAACGGAGCAGGAGTGACAAGTGGCCCCCAGCCTCGCTTCCCTTCCCCTTACCAGTGCACGGGTCCGGGCTGCTGCTGTCGGGCGTCCTCTCTGCTCTTTACAGGACACAGCCTCAGCCTGTGCTATTCAATGAGGTGCAGCAAAGGGCACGCAGGGTCATTTCTGACGCCAAAACTGAGGAAAGGAAGAGGGTGCTGCCATGGCAACCACAAGAAGGTGCAAAAGGGGAAGGACTCCCAAAGCCAGAAGCTGACATGGGGTTGGGAAGGAGGAGATGGATGAGAAGGGAAGAGAAACTGCAGAAAGGGGCTTAAGACTCGGAGGGCTTAAGACTTTAACACCTGAGGGGAGGAGTGTCTTCAGACTGGGATGCAAGTCTGACACCCGGGAAAGGAGAGGAAAGGAAGGTGTCACAAGAACCTCAGACCCCAGCACAGTTACAAGAAAGTGTCCATGAGGCCATCACGAAGACCCAGAGCAGGCAATGCCAGTGAGAGGAGCCCCACTGTGCGCAGGAGTGGCCTTGCTCCAGAGCCCCCACCATGCTCAGTCCCTGGCCAGGCTGAAAGTAGCAGGGGATGGTGTGGCTTTGCATGGACGCTGGCCGATCCAAAGTTGCAGCAGTTGGAGATTTCTAGCTATGCTGCTACTCATGGGAGTCCCAGGGAGCTGGGAGAGAAGGTCTAGGCATGGCTGGATCCAGTGTTCGATTTAGAACATGCCACTGGATCCCTTCCCCTCTCTCTCTCTGTCTCTCTCTCTCTGTCTCTTTCTCTCTCTCTCTCTTTCTGTCTGTCCCTTTCTCACTACTGAGACACAATACCCAACACCTTAAACTTAAAGAAGGACAGGTTTATTTGCCTCGTGTTTCAGTCCATAGCAACTGGCTCCAAGGCAGGACCGCACAACACAGGGACATGGTGGATGAAGGCTGCTCATCGCATGGTGGACGGGAAGCAGAGAGAGTGGGGAAAGCAGATACAACCCTCTGGATCATGCCCATGGTGATCTGGCTCTCCCAACCAGGCCCTATCTCCTAACAGGAAGTAGCTATACCCCCACAATCCAATGATCCTATGAGGCTTTAGGGGGACATCTAGATATAAACCATAATGCTCTGTTTCTATCTCTGTCTCTCTGTCTCCCTCTGTCTTCTCATTCTCCATCCGCGCTGGTCCTCTCATTTCTTCTTTTCTGTATGTATGATTGCTTCATATTTCTTCGGGGCTCATTGGACGTAAGATGGAAGATGGTTCTCACCAATACTAAGCTTAGAAGAAGCTCTGACTTCTAGAGGAGGGAAATGCACTCCCACTCGGCATCCATCCAGAGCTCAGCAAAGGACTCCCACACCCACCCCTGAACCAACCCACCCCACCCCAGAAGATGAAGATACTGTAAGAAGCAGGGCTCAGGACCTCAGCAGGGAGTCGAGAAAGGGTCCCTGACTTAAGTAACAGGTGAGGGATATGGAGCACCAAGGTAGTCCAAAAGTCAAGGAAGTCTATGAAAAATCACAGACATCCACCGTCATTTCCAAGCAAGAAGGAAACCAGGATGAGAGGCAAATGCTTCCACAGAGACAAGAACACACAGAAGAGGCCGCCATTTTATTTTATGAACCATTAACTTAAGATTCATTTGGCCAAACTTACTAAAATTGGAAAATGTCAGGCACTAAGATAGATGTAAAGGGGAACAATAACATTTCAAACTAAAATGAATTACGATTTCTTTTTGGAAAAATAAATGGATGTTGTAAGCTCCAAGAGTGGCCATCACCGTCTCCCAAGGACACATTCTGCAGATTAACAGCTTAGGCTGTGGAATTTTCTCTCCATCTGAGCTAACGTCAAACCACACAGACTTGGTGGTTCATGAACAATGGAAGTCTATCGCTCACAGTTCTGGAAACAGAGACGGCTGGGATGAAGGTGTTGGCAGACTCAGGTCTGATGAAAGCTGCCTCCTGGTTCTTAAAGGTGGCTCTTCTCTGCTTTACGACATAGAGGAAGAGGCAGGGTAGCTCTCTGCAATCCTTTTTATAAGTGCGCTAATCCCGATCACGAGGGCCCCACCCAATCATGCCCTGATCGCCTTCCAAATGTCCCGCTTCTTAATATCACCCCCACAGGAATTTTAGGGTAGGAGAGACACATTCAGTGTGTCTGCACTGCATGACCTTGAGTGACAGCCTCCTTGTTTTCTTAAGATCAAATGGGAGGAGAGGAGGGGAGATGTATTTAATATGAGATTTTAGGATTTGTTGGCATTGAGAATGGAAAACACCCAGCCCAGTACCCAGAACTTAGTAAGTACTCCATGCATGGTGTCTAATGTGTGCCAACCTGAAAGACTCGAAGTACTTTAAGCTACCATTGGCTTCCTACCCTCAAATACCAGCCAGCCTCACCAGCAAGTCTGAAAAAGCCCTTTGCTTCATAATCCAATAATCCCATCGGGTCCTAGGAGGGAAAGAAAGTGTTCCCAGCCCAACAGGCTATTTATGGAGATGAAACATCATCCCATTATTGCAGAAGACAGGAGAAAATGGGGCAGAGAGTGGTTCTCCGTGTTATCCTATGCCTACAGTTAATTGCGCCTGGGGGAAGGTTCCATTAGGCGAGAGATGTTTCCACATCCTAGAATACAAAGCACCTTTACAATTGTCCCTGATTTATTGCATGTGCAAGGCTGACTTCTGGCTCCAACCACAATCCTTTTGGGGTGGGACCAAGTTTCTGCTCACACAAGAGAACGGCCATGGGCCTGGAGAGAGGGAAGGGCCCCAGGGATTCTTGTGTGCTCCTTTTTGAACCAGGTCCCCCTCTTGAGGCCATGGGGACAGTCCCCATTTCTACAAAATTCTTCTCATCACGCTTTGCTTCTCCCATCTTTTGGAAGCTCATCTGGGCCATGGAAATGATGTTTTGGGGCAGAGATTTCAAAGAGGAATGTAAGTATACAAAAGATCTCCTTTGGAGACCATGATTTATGGATTTGCTGGCTGCCTGAATACAGTAAAGTACTGGCCTACACTTTGGACACATGACATAAAGCACACGGCAGTGACAAAAATGCTGCCTAAGGAAATACTGGTGGGGGGAACCCACTTCTACCTCTGACAGGTGAGTAGTGAGTCCGTAGTGAGTCCCAAGCTCCCCAGGTAGAGGCTGCACAGGGAAATGCCTGATCTGTTCAATCCAACTTCTCTCTGGTCCTCCTAGGTGAAATAAAGAGTTGCCATGGCTTTTGAAGGGAAGTTAGGGCAAGCACCATCCTCTAAACCTGCAGTATTAAAACACACAATTAGAATAATTGCTGTAATTATTGGGTAATTATTATATGGCAAACATTGTGCTGCACGGACCTTAAGTAGCAAGGCTCAGAGATAACACAGTGATCCCCATTCCTAGAAGGGGAAACTGAGGCTCTGAAAACGGAAGTACAATGGCCCACCTACTCCACTCTGAGCTATATGTACAACCTTGCTGTGTGACAAAAAGATAAGTGCAAAAATGGTCATAGCATCTTTCTTCCTAATAACTAAACGCTCAGAATGGGGCAAATATCTCTCAAGAGAAGAATGGATTAAGATATTATGGGATGCTCACACAAAGAAATATTACATGAAAATAAAAATTAAACACCTGCTACACACCACAACCTCGATGCATCTCATGCCTATTATGTGACGTGAAAGGAACTAGAAACAAAAGAATGCATTCTGCCTGGTGCCATTAACGTGGATTTCAAGGACAGGCAGAAGCAATCAGTGGAAGATAGAAGTCAAGGTGGTGATTACATGTTGGTGTTAGTATAGATTGGGAAGCAACACTAGGAACGCTATGGGCTGTTATATCTTGATCTTGGGTGGTTTTTCTCACAAGACACACGTAAGCGCTGAACACCGGTATACTTTATATATTTCATTTATTGTGTGTCACGCCTCAATAAATTTGCAAGGAAAGAAGGGAGTGAGACAGAGAGAGGAAAAGAGAAGGAGAAAAAGAGGGAGAGAGAGAAAAGAAAGCAAAAAGATGTGCTTGGAGTAAATGGCAGAAATGGAATTTGGCTCCAGGACCGCCTGGGGACTGCCTGGGTTCAGAATACACCTCACCAGCTGGGCTCGACTGCTCCTCACTGGGCTCCTGTTGACTACTGAGCAAAGCCTTCTTGATGGATGGGCATCTGCTTATGGCAGCAGGGCCACATGAGCTCACCAGCATTCAAGATTGAGATCCCAGTGAATTCTCTGTGACCTTTTTTTTAACCACCCCTTTCAATCCTGCTCGTGGTTCCTGATGAGGAGAATTTAGCTACAGCAAGGATATAATGCTCTTCTGCTGCGGGCTGAAGCTTCATGGCGAATCTGGCCTCTTGTTCGCAGGCAGTCACTGAGGGACAAGGAGAGCAGAGACAGGTATTGATCCCTGGTCATTATGTAAATGCATATGGCGGCAGGCAGCTTTGCTCAATAAAATCCTGACAGAGACGCCTCAGCCCTGAGTGATGGCCCCAACTGCACCCACAGGCCCCTCACCGAGCCAGAGACTCAGTTTCCCCAACTGAAAAAATGGGAAACTTGGCAGGTTCGTCTGGCCTAACCAGAACTGTATGGGAGTAAGCTCTTCCAAAGGAGTGATATATTTTACAACTAATAAACAGTTGCAGAACAAGTTCCCTGGTCACATGTTCTGTGGCATGAGATTTGGAGCCTAGGCATTGGTCATTCTACAAGTGCGTGGGTAGTGCTGTCAGCTCAAGGTTTCTGGGCAGGAAAGGCAAACCCAGAGCTGGAGTCAGCGTCTATCCTGATGCACTGGTCCTCCTGGGATAGACAAGGGCTCAATGTCATTGACTGTCCACCAGCCTGTAGGCTCCTCTGCTCCAAGAACAGGAAGTGCTTCTTTGATACCATGTGTGGCTCTGAAAAAGCAAATAAGTAGAGTCTTAGTACATTTTTCCACCTAAATTTGAGGCTTGAACCCCACTTTCTGATGAGTTCTAACACTGTGGAATGCTGAGCTTCAAAGCAGTAAATCTCAAGTACACACAAACACACACACACACATGCTCACACATTCACTCACACACGTAAGTGTATACACACATTTTGAGAGACTTATATACAAGCTCATAATTCTTCCTGGACATCAAATGGCTCTTTACAGGCTCCATTTTGATGACCTAAGTATCTTGCAAATTAAATAGAAACATATGGATTAAATTTCCCTCGAAGTACCAGGGCTTTGAGGAAAAAATCAGGGGAAAGAAAGAAATGCCTAGATGGTCACATTGCGGTTTTGCCTTTCCTTCATGATTCTAAGACTTTGCAAATGCAGCCTCAGAGAGCCTGCCAAGCTCGTGTGACATCAGTCCCCACATCCCACCAACGCCCTCCCCCGAAGCCTCTTCTCCACGCCTCTTCTGTGGGCAAGAAGGATGTGGGATGCCAGATCAGTGTCCTAGTGTATTAATGAGTGGAAGCAGAACCTCCCAGACAAGCTGGCTTCTTCAAGGGAGGAATTCAGACACAACACCCTTTGTTTTCATCTAAGAGCCATGTATTTATGACAAATGGGGAGTGACAGAGTCTGGATGAAGACAGTGCCATCTTGTACTTCTCTGGCACGTTGGCATGAAGCCATGGTTTCAGAATGCTGGTTGTTTTTTAGACTGGCCAGATTCCATTTTCCCCCTTAAGTGGAAATGTGCCTCTCCCGCAGACCATGTGGTTGAGACCCCTGGTTTCCATGATACACTCAGAGCATCTTGCTAGTGATTGGTTTAGAGATGGGCACGTGACAACTGACAGCCAATCAGAAAGGCGAGACTTCCGTCTTGGTCTTTTGTTGGAATTATTGAGGAAGAAGAGAGAGTCCTTTAAGTTGTACTCAAGCTGGGAGAATAACGTGTAAATCTGGAACCCCTGGTAGCCATCTTGGCATGTTATCATGAAGGGAAAATATGCCTGGTAGTGGAACTCACAGATGAAAACAAGACTCAGCAATGAACAGAATAAAAAATCCTAAGCATATAATTTGAGTCCTTAGATTGAGCCATACCTAAACTCGAATCTATTGCTGACATTTTTTAGTAATTTGAGCCTATAAATTCTCTTTAGTTTAATCATATGGAGTTGGTTTTGAGTCCTGATTGATCCAGCCTCACATTATTATGAAATGACTTTTATTTTGGGATCTATTTCCATATTCATTTTACCCATGGAGCAAGGACAATAGGAATCTTTCACACCTGGATAGTGCTCTGCGGTTTCCGGGATGCATTCGCCAAGGGTGGATACCTCGAGTAGCCATCATAGCTGTTCCAGCTCACGTCTGTCTAACATCTGGCTCAACTAGCCCATCTTCATTCCATACAGACTGATTAATAGTTTTAATACTAACTCTACTTTTATCTGTATATTCACCTTGACACTGAAAATCACAGCAGGACCAAAGACTGATGCCACAAAGCCCATTTTACAGATGAGCAAGATAAGGTTTGGAAGTGACTTTTCCAGGCTAATCAGCGGCCAAAACTGTGTTTAAAATACTTTAGATGGAAGGTGCTTTTGTTTTGTTTTGTTTTGTTTTGTTTTGTTTTGTTTTGTTTTGCACCTCACTGTGTTCTGCGAAGAATGCCATAATACACAACTTATATCTGTCCACTCCTATTTTTCAGGCTGAGGAATTTACATGTATTTAGTAGTCACAGACCCAAGCAGTAGATTTTCTTTGCATCTTCATTCTGCATATAAGGAACAGGAGTCTATGAGCTTCAGATCACTTTTCTAGGAAGTAACAAAGACAGGGTTTGAACTCTGATCTGTCTACTTTAAAATATTGTGTGGCTCCACCCACTATGTGTATAGACAGATATGCAAACTCTTATTAGTCCTAGGCTAAAAAACATAGGATGTAATATATACTATAAAAATCAAGGCAAAAAGAAGTTGATTTTGGCTCATCAGGAAAAGCTACCATATTAGGGTTTCAAATGAACTGAAGGAACATTCTTTATCATTTTATGATACTCTGGCTACTCATTGAAACTCGATAAGCTCTATTAAATCCTGAAGGTGAATGAGACTGTTATGGTGTAGATAAAAAATGTCCCCAGAGGCCTTGTGAGCTCATAAGTGGGGCTTTGGAAGGTGACTGAATCATACTGGTCCTATGGCTGACCTTCTATACAGAGCCAGGGTGTGATCAGAAGAGGCCAGCCACTGGGTGCATGGCCTGAAAAGGTGCATCTCCCTTCCTAGCTCCTCACTTCTCTCCCTGCTTCCTGGCTGCCAGGATGTGAGTGGATTTCCTCTGCTATGCCCCTCTGCCATGCCATTTCTACCCTGCAGCTAGTAGACCGCACACTGTAACCATGACCCAAAATAAACCTCTCCTCCTTTGAGTTGCAGGTATAGGCATTGTGTCTCACCAAAGTGACTAAGACAGTTATGCAGACACAAGGGAGTCTCAGGGAAAACTGGGCAGTAGTACTCAAAAGATGTACCTGTGGGGGGCTGAGGATTTATCTTAGTGGCACAGCACCTGCCTGGCAAGTGCAAGGTTGTAAGTTCGATTCCCCATACTGGAAAAAAAAATGGAAAAAAAAAAAAAGATGTACCTATGAGGAGGTTCTAGAATGTTCAGAAAGGCAACCAGCCATTGCAGCTCAAGAGTAGTAAATCAGCTCTACTTTGCATACCAAGTCTTATCAATTGAGAGCCGTTGCCTGGAACATGTGTTGAAACAATGGCAACCCTGGAAGGTGTCAGAGAAAGAGTTCTGAGATGGCTTATTGATGTCTGCCATAGACTCAGGCTGGGCACAGGACAGCACAAGTGCCATGTACCTACCTTCATAATGTTGCTGAGTATGTGTTATATTAAAAACTAAATACACAAGAAGAGCAAAAGACTATCTGAAGGTGTACAATAGCAAATTATTTTCTATGATACAGAGTTCAGACCTGGTTTAATGGACAAGAAGGGGTGATTAGGAGTTCCTGAACAGGGAAAACTCCAAATAAAATATTGACTGCTGGAAAAACTAGAAGGCAGCTGAGCAGAGTTTGGTTCCTGATCATTTGCAGCAGTTTCTTCCCATGGAGTCAGTTATCAGTCTCCAAGTGATGCCTTATAAAGAAGAAATAAATTATGTGTACATTTGCTATTGGGTAAAAGCTCACATCAGGAGCAAGAAAGCACCCAGTGTTCACCACAATGGCTGGATTGCCTAATAGAATACCAGGCTTCCTATGCAAAACCCTGGTATCTTGATGGTCAGAAGGTCTTCTTGATTGTATCTTTTGATATGCTGTTGCCCAGAGGGAAATGACATCACCAGAGACCCAGGTCTGACCCAGTCTAATCACAGATCACCATCTTACGACACTTTACGGCATTGCTCAGATTGCTTGGTGTGTACTAGGGCAAGCCTTGCTTTACACTTCTGTCTTAATTTCTCCTCCCCACAACCCTGAAAAGTAAAAGTGTGCCCATTTTACAGATGAGCAAACTGAGGCTTAGAGAGGTAAGGTAAAGCTGGAGATACAAATTAAGCCTCTCCATAGTCAAGGCTATGCTCCTTATCATTATGGTCACTTAGCCCAGGAACCTACACACAGGCTCAAACTAATCCCCCTCCACTGACATGACCAGCCAGTGTAATCACCTGGTGGAGCAGAATTCTCCCACAGGCCATTCCAGATGACTTCAACAACCTTGCAGCAAGAACCCTGCCAGTAATTATTATGTTAACTATGCACACCAAAATACTTACGGCCAAAGAAGAGGCCTGGGAAGGTCTCATCCAAAAACATCATTTCCAGAGCCTATAGTGATATAGGCATTAAATGCTATTCTAAGCATTTAAGGCTATTAAATGCTAGTCTAAGGCATTAAATGCTATTCTGATATTGGGGGAGAGGGACCATAGATTATAATTTCATTAAATGAGTAAAGAATTAAATGATGATTGAGGTTGAACTCAGTTTTCCAAGATCCTCCCAAATCCTCCTTGGAAGCTGAGTTTTATTACAATGTCCTAAGACATCTAAACCTTCCAATCTCTAACTCTAATTCTCTCCCCTTTGTATATTGTATTTAAGACAGTGACCAAAAAGCCCTCTAGATTCATCTAATGCCATATTTTAAATACATCTCTGAAAAGTTGGATGGCAACCAGGAACCCTCCCATTCTGGTTCAAGAAGGCTTTGTTTATTTAACTGATACATTATAAGTCAATTTTCTTTTACCTTTAACCTCTTAAAATGTTCTGTGGTTTTCATAGATTTCCTTTTCACATGTACAGTGACACCAGCTTCCATTTTCATTACATATAAAAGTTGTACACTTTGCATCAAGCCCATTTTTTTTTCAGTAAGAATCTATTTCAGTGTATAAAAAGGAAGTTCAGAGTTTTCCCCCCAAAGCTTAAAGAATTGTTTTTTTTCCCTTGTCTATAGTTATATCTGTACAAAAGAATTTTTTAACATCACAGATGTGTGACTACTATCTGCCAGATTTATTTGGAGAATGAAAATTACAGAGAATGAAAATTTGTTTCTAGTGCCCCATCTCTGTATTAGTCAGGATAGGTTAGGTTTTGCTGCAGTAAAAAAAAGGACCTTGGTTTAAAGGCCTTCAACACAGAGACTCTATTTCTCTTTCATACTACAGGTCATCTGGAGGGGCCTGTCCTTGTGTTCTCATTCTGGAACCAGACTGATAACACAGCCAACATTCAGAAACTTCCAGGTCACCATGGCAGAAGGACAGAATGTGGGTAGGTAATTGTGTGATAGCTCTTAAAAAGTTCCATGCAGACATTTAGTGCCAAAGTGAGTCACATTTCCATGACCACTCCTCACTTCAAACTGTGGGAAAATGCAATCTCTGCACAAAGTCAGGAACTACTGAACA